CCAGGTATAGAAGACATACCCAATAGTAACTTCAAGCATAAACCACAGTAGAGGGAGTGACTTGCTATTACTTATGGCCTCAATTTCCTCATCTATAAAACAGGGGGAAAAATTATACTACCTTATACCTCACCAGGTTGTGAGGAAAGCACTGTATAAATGACAAAGAGCTACATATATATGTTATTACTATTATTTGTGGTTGTTAGATAGTCAAGGGAAAGAACTAGCAGAAGGACTTCTTTACACTCAAGTTACTTACATAAGGCAATGTATTAGTAAATTTGTATGTTTTTTCAAATACTTAGCTATAAATTAACTCTATTGGTTCCCCATAAACAAACTGTCATGGTTGAATTGGCAATTATGTCATCACATTCAACATCTTCTCTAGTCTGAGAAACAATACAAAGGTTTCCATCTTTGTTCTTCTCCAATCTCTTTTCTTGACTTCTTTAGTACTTCATTACCCAGCTCCCCGACTACTCTATGTCATCAACAAGGAATTTTTAAAGGTTTTGTACCTAATTTTCTTCTACTCTTTTCTCTTAACTCCCAAATGCCAATGAAATTAGGAATTCCAGTTTTCAGGTACCACTTAGATGCTTATGATACTCAAGCCTCCTTTTCTACTCTTCAAGTATCTCCCTCAATCTGTTCTTAAATTCCAGCAGTACAATGCTGCTATTGCAACAGTAAGCACTGTACTGAAATATATATAGCATAAAAGGATTAACCTCATTTCACTTGGCCCCCAAGGTAAGAACTGGAACTTAACAAGCAAGAGTTACAAAAAGTAAGATTTTATATAATGAAAAACTTAACAATTACACTGTCTAAACATGAAATGAAAGGCAACTAGGGGGCACAGTAGATACAGCATGGGGCCTAGAGTCAGGAAAACCTGACTTCAGATCCAGCCTCAGACACTTTTTAGCTGTGTGACCCTGGGCAAGTTTTTAACCCTGGTTGCCTCAGTTTCCTCATACGTAAAATGAACTGGAGAAGGAAATGGCAAGCCATTCCAGTATCTTTGCCAAGAAAATCCCAATGGGGTCAAGAAGAGTCAGACACAACTGACACAACTGAACAACAACAACAAACAGGAAACAGGCTGCCTCAAAGGACAGTTAAGTTCAGAGAACTTTCTGGAGAAAAGTTAGCAATGGAATTATTTTCCCTAGAAAAGTGGGTTGTGACAGCACTGGTCTTCTAGCACATGAAGAATTGTATCACATTTAGCAATCAGTTTTTTCTCATTTCTGTAGAAAACAGAATAAGAGGGGTGTAGTTTAAGCTAGAGAATGAAGAATATAGCTAAATTCAGGCAAGTATCTCTTTTTTGTCATTTATTCCTAGAAACTGTAATTTTCTGTCATCTGTCATTATTTAGAAAGCCTGATTCCCCTATTTTTGACACTAGATGGCAATCATCTTCCATGGGCAAGAAAAATTTTAACTGAAATACTCTTTACTGTTTTACCAAGACCTGTCAGAAAGTGAAAAATTATAGATTATGAGGAGAAAATGGAAATATAGGCCTTTTTTTGGCAGGTAATGTTACATAAGCAGATTATCAAAATGCAAAATAGCAAAAAGGGAGGCCATATAAGGAACTTCCTCAGTATAAAGAGTTGTTGACCAATGCACGAGTAGAATCTTCCTCCCTGAAGATCTTTAAACATGGAGGATGTTCTTACTAGCCTGAGGTCTCACCACCCTGAGAAGGGATGGGCTAGGTAACTTCCACCCTTCCCCATATGTGGTTTTCTTTTCATCTTGGAATGCCTGGAATAGCCTGCTTTCCAGTTTTCATTAAGTGTGTACTTTATATTTAAGAACAAATCCAAAACCAAATTTTCTTTTCTTACAGTCCTAAATCTTACAGTCCCTCTTCTAAAAGAGAAAAACTTACAATACCATATAACTCTCCAGAGCTGATTTAAACCAACTAAAAGTTGCTATTTAAATCACCATGCATGTTAATGTTAAACCAATCTGAATCTTTTCTACTATACAATAAGTTCCTTGAGATCCTGAATCTTCTTTGTCAATATCTGAGCAGCCATGGGGTGCAAGGCCATGTTAGGTGTTGCAGAAGTTAAGTAAAATTAGACTACTTACTCCCTATCTTGAAAGAGTTTATACCCTTGTTAAAGATACAGAATGCCTAAGAAAAAGACTAAAGAGTAATGGTGACATATAAATAAGCATTAATTAATATTGTGCAAACTAAGTCCATAAGTGCTAAGGAGACACATAATAAAGGAATAATAAGATGTATAAGATTTATCATTACATGGTCTTCATTAAAAATGTTTGTGAGATCACCACGATAATGACAAAAAGTCAAGTGTAAAAATACTATTATAATAGACTGATTATAGAATGGATTATAGATTGATATTTAACTATTACTCCTGAATATTTTAGATGCTGTTAAATTATTTCCTAGCTATTACGAAAGTTCAAGTATATCAAGTAATGCAATATCAATAACTTAACCTCATAGGCAATTTAGCTTTCTTATGTACTTCAATACTTTCATAACTCTGTGATCTCAATGGTGTAGGTATTCCCTCCACTGGCACAGATTCCAATTTGTCATGCTTTTCATCCTGTGAAACTTTGGCTCACATCTTTTTGCATATCCTCTAGAGATTATCTACCCAATGTACTGATGGTCTTCCTCTGGTTCTTTTAATGTTTCTTATCAGTACAGCACTCAGGCTAGTATGCATCTACTCTTTCTTCATGACTGGTTCATCTCTTCTTCCAATCCAACATGAAAGTTACTGTTGATAACATTCTACACAGTCTACTTAAGACCACCATTTTTAATGTTAATAATAGCTAACATCTGTATGGCACTTTAAAGTTTACAAAGCACTTTACATACTACCTCATTTGATCCTCACCACAACCCTATGAGGTAAATACTATTATTATTTCTATTTTACAGATGAGGAACTGAAGCTGGAAGGTTAAATGACTTGCCAGAGTCACAGAGCTAGTGTCTGAGGCAAATTCAGGTCTTTCTAACTCCATCCACTACACCACCTAGCTATTTTACAATAAAAACACACTGAAATACCATATCAAGAACTCTTTCTTGTTTTTTATTTTTTTTCTTGATTAGACTTTTTATACTAAACAGGCCAGAATTGAGTGCTGGCTACACAATGACAGAATGTAGCAATGTATTCATGAAGACTGAAGAAATAGAAAGAAAGACACAAAGATGACAAAGAATAAGAACAAAAAAAGACCAAAATGATGATGATGATAAAAATGGTAACAGAAGAGGGGAAAATGTAGCATTATTTTTCGTACTGATGTTTATCTCACTAACAAAGAACTGTCATTTCCTAGCAGACAAACAGTACAACCCAGGCCCTATCCTGGAGAGCACCACCATCCCAAAACTGGGATTCAATTCAATTCAACAAATATTTATTTAGTGCCTACTATGTATCAGACTATTGTCCCAAATTTAATACAAACACAAATCTATCCATCCGCCTCAGACAGTTTGGCTGTTACTGTATTTACCTTTTTTAAAAAATCCACTCAAAGTGTAATAACGTTAGTCAATGTGAACTAAATCTTATTCTCTATTTCAATCCCCCTCTGTCACTCACAAAGCATCCCTAGGCAGTTCTGATGTACATAATCTTCACTCAATTTCTAGTCTTTCATTTTAATCCATTCAAAATTCCTTTGATAAAAGAATAACTGCCAGACCAAAGACACTTTAGTCCCTCCTTAGGGAAATAAAATTGATTTTCTTCATTTTCACACAAGGATCCTTATCTAACAGCACTACGTCCAATCATACCCATAATAAAACACACACAGGCAGAAACTTTTAATATATCAGATGCTGAAAGGTACGACAGTAGTTCCAGATAAAAGTTCCAAGTAAGGGCCTGCTCTTGCACACCACCAGACAAGCCTAAGTGTACAAGAATCATGACATATCTAAGCAATCAATACTCTAGGAGGCTTCCAATGAAGAAACCAGATATAGTGGTTGACAATGCTTCCAGGAGAGGTATCAAAGAAGAGACCACTAGGGTGGCTGTCTTTCTGTACCTCCCCTTGCCCTGCTTTTTTTTTTTTCCCACAGAGCACCATTCTTCTCATCTTCTATCTCCTCTGACTTCAGGAAAACAAGAAAATTGGAGAAGATTCTGCCCAGTGCTCTCCTGGGAGCTGTTCTACTGATGGCAGCAGGGAGCAATAGGGGCAAGAGAGGAAACAGGGACATTCATTCACATATATAACATATTTTCTATAATAGGAAAAAGTATGCAAGGGAAATAAGTTAAAGTACTCTCAAATCCTAGAAACAAGTAATAGAAAATTTAAGTCAGGACCCAAATTTTTTACCTCTGAAAAAAATCTAACATAGTATTTTCAGGCTTTGCCACCTCCTTTACCTATAACCTTACTACCTCATATGGGTTTTGCAGTATTACAGGGATTGAGGGAAATGAATTACACCTAAAGAAACATAAAAGCCCAGAATGAAAATTGAGGCAGCATTTGATTTTCCTTTCCCTCTCTTGGAAATTCTTATGAAGCCATTCTCTGAACATACACCTGGCCTACGATTTTCAAGGAAATGCACATCCCGCTTATTACGTACTTATGATTTTATGATACAGCATGAGATTTGGAAAGCTTTTTTGTTATGAGCCATTCAGTGTGAAGTATTAATGCCTTCTGAATAATTCTAAATTACATCCCAAACCTATAGTCCCAAATCCATGTTCATAATTTTCTACTTTTTCCAAAGAAAAAGTTTCCTGTTTATTAAATTTGGTAGTTTATTCCATGAAAAAGTTTTCTTTTTATAATAAGAAGGAAAGATGAAATCTGCCTCTCACAACTAAGTGTGATTGGAAAGTCAATGTTTATGCATGTGTTTTAAGTTTACTTGTATTTAATCAATACATGTAAAATTTCAATCACACAGTTAATCTATGTGAACTAACCTGCAGACCCGGGCAGGAAAATACAGCTTTTGCCAAGAACGACAGAGGTATTTTGAGTGATCGATTACTCTGATCCAATCTAGTTCATCCATGGACACTTCAATGTAGTAGGAATAAGACCTTTGGAATGGAGGGGGGAAAAGTATAAAGAAATCACCACATAAATATCAAAGAAAACAATTTATTCACTAACTACATTTTTTTCGCACATCACTGAAAGTTCATTTCATGTTATTTGCTTCTTCTGGAAACAGACCATGGTTTCCTTCATACTTCCAAAGTAAATTCTAAGTTCTAAATTAGCAGATTAGCACAGTCATGCAAAAAGGAGGGCTCAAGATAAAGAGAGGGATGTTTTTTCTTTTAGTTTTCCTTAGTCCTGGCTAGCTATTCCCATGATCTCAGGGGCAGAGTCAAGACAAAATGGTTCCTCACCATAGTTTTAGCTTTGATTTTTTTTCCCTACTTCCTCTCACTCTTCCAGATCCCTACCAACCCTCCATATCTAACCAAGAGAGAAGTAACTGACATCACTGAGAAAATAATACAAGTGCATTTTGAGGACAACCTGAAATTTGTAGACTAATAATCCTCAGGAATGTTTAACAGTCTCCCTCCAAGTAAGCTACCTAGGACTCTACTGCTCACCTGAAACACACAGAACTGACTACTACCTCTTCCCTAAGGTAAATTTAAATATGAGGCAATGTTATTTCTACTGCAATATCAACCAGCCTGATCTCAGAAAGATTTAACTGACTGTAAATGTCAGCCTGTAGCCAAAAGTTGTGACTAGGAAAGGTCAGCTTATTTTGTGACACAATTCTCTCATTTTCTGTTGTCCCTTCACTCTCATTCATTTTATCACACAGCAACAAACTGATTATAACCTTTTCTTGAACCTCTCTGGGTTATCAGCAATTCAGGCTATAATTCTACAACATGTGCTAAGGGTTTTTTTGGCTTTGGATCCTAAATGTTTTACCTTTGATCAGAATTACAACAGCTCCTTTGACAGGGGAACCAGATGACTACATAGCAAAGCTAAGTCCCCTCGGAAGAAAAATAGCTTTTCTACAAAATAAAGTTTTTTATAAATGTTTTGACAGGCATAAGAACTACAAAGATAATAAGCTCCTTAATGCTCAAGGTTCCTAACCCTTTCAGTGGTTCATGTTCACTCAAAAATGTACTACCTGCCCCACTTAATCAATTAACATCAAATTAAACTCAACAAGAAAGGGACCAGGAAACATTTAATATGATCAGAAGAAAATGAGAAGGGGACTTGCTGGGGACCTCACACTAATTATATGTAAGCCTACCTCCTGGAATGTAATAGCAGGCCATATTCTTCCCTCTACTAGTTAGGAGGAAACTCTCATCCCTGCTATAATATGCAAGCACCAAATGTCCTGAGCCAAGAAGGCACACTATCTGGCATGAAAATCTTGATGCCACACCCAGCAGTACTGGCAAAAATGGCACCCGGTGCTTCCTGAAGCTCCAGGTGTGCCCTTTGGCACTGCAGTCTCCCCTAACTATAAGAGTCAATTTATTCTTGGGTTTTGGGTGATTTTTGTTTTTGTTTTTGGAGGGGGAGCATTGGATTGAGGTCTGTTCTTTCAATTCAGTGTTCTAGTAGTTGGAGTCCCTGACAAATTTCACCTAATTCTTCCATGCCTTTGTTTGTCTATCATCTGTCTTGAAAAAATTCCTATTCTGCAAGAAAGACAATAAATAAGTTCCCTTTAAATAATCAGAATAAACTTTTAGATGAACTATGCCTTCCAATTCTTTCCTAGGGGTTTCAACAGAAATATTACTGAGATATGAAGCTTTAAAATTCTAAAAAGTTATAAGACATCTAAGCATAACAAAGCATAATTTTAAGCCATTAACAGATTAAGTCATTTTAATAAAAATACAATGTCAATTCCTCCTTGAATCACACTATTATCACTTACCGACTATCACGATCCCACAGGAGTATTCGTATATGATTGATAATTGATGGCTGACCTAATTTAATCTCGATGCCAGAACGGCAGTCATCATCAATTGGATGCCTAGAAAATCCATGATCCAAATCATAATTTTGTGTATCACCATCAAGTAAGGCGGATTTCAGCTCCCCTTTCACTACCTGGGCTCCATACTTCATAGTTGCAATGTTCTCTTCTGGTACTGCAGTTGGAAATAGAAAAGGTAACACAAACAGTTGCTTATTAAAAGATTCTCCCACAGCAAACAATACAAACTAAAAGCTATGAGAAAGGCGGACTTCTTGAGGATGGCTATACAGCCAATGTCTAATATTTGAGGCACAGATCAAGTTTTACATTTACATTTTTTCAGTTTGTTTCAGTTTTTACAATTAGTCTAAAGGTCAGGAACATCTCCTGTGAAAGAGTAGATGGAAGACTTAGAAGCATAAATGTATTATTTAATATTAAGTACTCACAAAATAGCTAGTGTAGTATTAGGGATTATGGTAAAGGGTACACCCCATGAAGAAAGTAAGATCTCCTTTGAGGAAGCATAAACCCGCTACACTCAGGCCATTTTCTATCACTAGTTGCTATTTAATAGCAAGTATCACATGTAATACTAATAGGTGACATTTACATTGTTAGTTTATGATTATATTCCTTCTGTCTCTCTAACTACTTCCCTCTCTGGTTCCTTATCCTCTCCCGACTTACTTGAAGTGGATTTTCTACATTCCTGATTGGCTTCTTCCCACCCCACCCCTTCTCATCCCCACCTCCCTCTTCAACAATCTTACTTGCTCCAGTCAACTTCCATGTAGATCATTCTTTGTTTTGTGCTCTTTTTTTTTTTTTTTTTTGTTGTGGTTCTTGGTTTTGTGAGGCAATTGGGATTAAGTGACTTGCCCAGGGTCACACAACTAGTAAGTGTCAAGTGTCTGAGCCTGGATTTGAACTCAGGTCCTCCTGACTCCAAAGCTGGAGCTCTATCCACTGCGCCGCCTACCTGCCCCATGTAGATCATTCTTAAATCTAATATCCCTAATCCTTATATCTCTTTTAGTCTCACTCCCATGTTCAAAACTGGACTCCTCTTTCATTTACTTCTCGTATCCAGTTACCATCTACTTTAGATTCCAGCTCCATAACATATTGACATTGTCTTCTCCACTCTATTCCTATTTCTCCCACATTCACAAGAGCCCTCACTATCACTTCTCTAAAACTACTTTTAACAATCTCCTGAGAGGTCTTGCTTCTCCCTCTCTCCCCTCCCTCTATACTACGGGTTCTTAATCTTTTTTTTATCATTGACTGCTTTTGGCTGTCTCATGAAGCCTATGTGCCCTTTCTCAAAATATTGTTTTTAAATGTCTAAAATGAAACATATAGATTACCAAGAAAACCAATTAAATTGAAATGCAGTTATCAAAATACAAAAAAAAAAAAAAAGGTCACGGACGTGGCTTAAGAAACTCTGTTCAACATCCCTTCATACCATTTGCCACTCTACTCAAAAATATTCAGTGGCTTCTTATTGTCGATTGAGTACACTTCAAACATTTACTGGGCATTCAAGGGCCTCCACAATTTATTGACATCCTACTTTTCCAACCTTACGTTATATTATTCCCTTGTATGCACATTGCTTCAATCGCAAGTTGGACTACTCTCTGACCCTTCTCCCCTTATTCTGTACTTTTGATTAACTGGATACCTAAACTTGATTGTTTGCTCCCTCCATCCCTCTGTCTATTGAATTGCTACTCATCCTTTAAAAACCATATCAAACACCACATCATGCATGAAATCTCCCCAAGTCTTTCTAGATGTCAATTGGCACTTTGTTTTTTGTAACTATTTGTTTTACAATGAATCTAAAGGTTAAAAAGTCAAGCCTGTCCATAGAGAAGGAATAGAGAGAAGACCTATGAGGACAAAAATATTAGCTGCATTTATTAACATTAAATACTCACAAAATGCCTGACACAGTATTAGGGTTATGGAAAAGGCTATGCCCCATAAACACACTTGCTCTTCCTCCCTTTCTAATCTTCTTACACATTATTCCCCTTCTGATAGTCTGCCATGAAGCCATCCTGGCCCAAGCTGACACTGCTCTTGTATGATGTTCCATGTCTGATCTCTGTGACTTTGCACTAGCTACTCACCAGTCCTGGAAGCATTCCCTTCTCATCTCTGCCTCTTGAAATCCCTGATCTCCTTCAAGTTTCAGCTCAAGCACCACTTTCTACATGAAATCTTTCCTTTTCTCCCAAATGCTAGTGAACTTCTTTTCAAATCTACCTTGAATTTCATTTATACTTCTACGCAAGTTACTTATCATTTATATTATATAAATGTATCTACTATATGTGGTAGACATAATATTAATAAGTTATTTGTAACTTTTAATTTAAGTATATATAATATGTAGACATATTATATATGTACAGGTCATTGCTCCCATTAGAATACAAGCTTCTTAAGGGTTAGGGCATTTTCATTCTAATCTTTGTATCTCCATGTAAACACATAAGGCCTTACTGAATGAATAGTATGTAATGATGTAGATTATGGTTATCTGTATTTTCTTTTTCTAATAAACTCAGAACTCCCTGAGGATGGGGGTCTTGTCTTATTTAAACTTTTCATTCTCCCTCAGCTCCTGCCCCCCCCAGGACTCAGCTCTCCATAACAAACACAGAAATGTTTGCTGAATGAATGAATACTCTAGTAGATATCAATGCAACGTGGGTGGTACAAGTACTATTATTACCATTTTTAGAGATGAAGAGATAAAAACGGAAAGAAGTGAAGTGAACAAGAAAAAAACAAAACAAAACCAAACAAACAAAAACCAATGGTGAAGTGATTTTGCCTACACTCACATTTCTTAACTAACCTAGGTCTTCTGATCCCCCACCCAGCAGAGGAGAAATAAAGAACCCATATAGTCTTGAGTCCTAGATGGTACTGCTAAAATCAATTAATTCATTTAAAAATTAGAAGAGGACAAGCAATTTTTCCTTTGCATGAGTAATTTTAAAAAGATCTGTCATGTTAATCTGTCATGTTAATATCATGGTTATTAATTAATATTTCCTCATTATCTTTATCAAATGATATTTACTAAGTGTCTATCTCATCTTAACACTCCTATAGTCTATGGAAAAAGCAAGTTACAAAGATATGGATGGCTCTGTCCTCTAAGAGCTCACAACCAAAAACAGATGACTTCAGTAAAGAAGATCATGTCAAAGAATGTACAAATACATGCAAAACTATGTGAACACAGAAAATAACATAAGGCTAAACATAGTAAAAAATGAACAGGGTGTAAACATACAGAAAAGCCTTTATATGTATTTCAAATATGTTGCTAAAGCAGAGGAGAGGGCAAGTTATTTGCCAGGTTTTATGGTGGAAGAAAACTAAGAAAAGTATCTTCTATTTAAGAGTCAGTGTGGGATTTCCTACAAAGATAACTGCCTGGCTCCCTCACACCTATTATAAGAAAACCTTGAAGTTTGGACCAGACAGAATAATGCTCAAAAAGTCCAATAACAAACTATAGTAGGTGACTTTTTCCACCCCAGAACTGCATAAAAAGTCAGAACCATAGGAGAGAGGACCCCTCAAGCAAAGTGAACACAAATGTAATGGAACATGAAGTCTACAAGGCACTGTGTCCAGAAGCAGCAACAGTGTTCCCCTAAGAAAGCCCCAGAGAGGTACAGTGATCTCAAGGATCCAGAGGAGCCTAACCTTGGGAAATAGAGGTCAATGCAAAAACTCAGGACCAAACAGAGCAGGGTTGACTACCTTCACTCAACAGTGGAGCACAGGGCAGAGCCTAGCTCTGGTGCAAAACTGAAGAGATGAGTAAATCTAAGAAAACATAAACCTGCATCAAAAATTATTGCAAATCTAATTCCAAGAAATGGACACTAAAACAAGAAGAGTTCAAACAAAAATCATTAATGCCATGAAAAACCAAGTAAAACTAAAACAGAAAAGATTGAAAAAAAATATAAGAAAATTTATATCAATATGAAAAACTGACCTGGAAAACAAATCAGGAAGAGATTATTTAAGAGTCATTCACGACAATAACAGCCACATTGTACAATGACTAATATTGAGAAACTTGACTCTTCCCAGCAATACAAGGATCTAAGACATCTCCAAAGGCCTCGTGATGGA